GCACGGCCCCTATGACAAAAAACTCTCTATAAAAAAAAAAAAAAAAAAAAAGATAAATAAACATTTAGAAAATAAAAAATAGAAGGGCCGGCCCTGGAGCACGGGGCCTAAGGGGCCAGACTGCACACGGCCGACCACAGTTCAAGTCCCGCCCCAGGGACTTGAAAATATGCCATGTGCATGTGTGTGTGCCCCAAATCCTGTCTGTGGGCCTCTCTCCGGTGTTCCACTCCTGGCCACTTTCCCAGTGTTCCGAGGAGCCTGACCCTGGGTGGTCCAGTCGGCACCAAGAACTAGTGGCTGTCTTCTGCTTTTCAGAGGGAATCCTCAGAAGCCCATTTTAAATGCAAATTCCCACGTTCCACATAGTGGTGACACTTACCTCCACTAATTTCCCCACCGAGATGCAGGAGAACCCCTTAATTACTTCCTTGGATGGCAAAAGACACACAGTCCCTGAGCCATTATACCCAACACCACTGACCTGCAGGACAAGGCGGGAGAAAGTCACTGAGTCAAAACGTCCCCTCCCTACCCCCCGCCCTGTGCCCTGAAGGCCCACAGCCTCTGCCCCGGGATCCATCCCAGGATGTAACCCTGCACATGGACAGGCCCTATGCGTAAAGCTGAGCCCTGCACAGCCACGTTTCCCCAGACGCCCTGCCGACCGACGGTGCTGTGCTATGGGATGTCCCCTGAGTGGGCTCTCCGCAGTCCGGATGGTCACGGTCACAGAGGCTTGTGAACGGCACGGGGACCGATGCTCGGGGCTGTGGGGCAAAGGGTTTCTCACAGAACCGATGGCAACTCCCTCTGCCGTGGTAGTCCCACCCGGCCGCGAGGACTCGGGCGTGCCATGCGTAGCTCGGCGGTGGCGCGTCAGTGGCTGCGTGCTTAGGGAGCTTGCTTTTCTTTTAGAATTTCAGTTTTTTAATCTCATTTTCCTTTTTAAATTTGTCAGAGAGTGATTATGCTCACCAGAGAGACAAACAGAGAGAGAAGGGAAGGAGTGAAGGAGAGAGAGCGAGAGAGGGTGAAAGCACCCCACTGGGGCGTGGTCACACCAGGCCCCTCCCCCCACTTCCCCATCCTGCCAGGATTTGGGGCACACACAACCTGTGTTTTCCAGGCAGCTGGGGCTGGGATCCGAACTGCATGGTTGGCTATGTGGGATCCTGTGCTCTTAACCACCAGGCCGTGGGACTGGCCTGAAACTTGATTTTCAAAATAAGAATTTGCCCGTGGGCGATAACTTGCTGTCCCGTTGCTCTGGGAAGTTGGTGGGGAGAACAAATCACAATGTAAAGTCTCACACTGAGGGCGTTTAAACTGTGACACGGGGCAGCAGGTAGCGTAGTGGTTAAGGCACTGGACTCCTGCATGGCTGACCATGGTTCAAGTCCCAGACCCAGTGTCTTGAGACTCACACCAGGCGCTGGGACCAGCAGATGGCGTAATGGTTGCGTTGCTGGACTCCCACACATTCAACTGTGGTTCAAGTCTTGGACCCAGAGGCTTAAAACTCACACTAACCACATGTTTGTGCATGTCCAAAATCCCAAAAGGAGAATGGAGAAGGGACTGTGGCATGGCCATCCCCCCAGGGGGCGATTTCTTGCTTTCCGTCTGTCTGTCCCTGTCTCTTAGGCAAGCACACACACCCTATAGCAAAAATCCCTCTAAAAGGAAAAGAGAGAGACTCACACCAGGCACCTGTGTGAACCCCAAACCCTGAGAGAATGGAGGGGAGAGGGCTGCAGCATGGCCACCCCCAGGGGCTGATTTCTCACTTTCCCTGGCACTGTCTCTGTCTCTCTCCGGCAAGTGCATGTGCCCTATGGCAAAATAAATAAAACAAAAACAACAACAAAAACTCTGACAAACGTGAGAAAGAGACACACGAAGGGCCAGTTTATCACGGGCAGTGACGGGTAACTGTCCCGCGTGTAACTGTCCCGCGTGTAACTGTGCCGTGTGTAACTGCCCCACATGTAACTGCGCCGCGTGTAACTGTCCCGCGTGTAACTGCGCCGCGTGTAACTGCGCCGCGTGTAACTGTCCCGTGTGTAACTGCCCCGCGTGTAACTGTGCCGCGTGTAACTGTGCCGCGTGTAACCGTGCCACGTGTAACTGTCCCGCGTGTAACCGTGCCACGTGTAACCGTGCCACGTGTAACTGTCCCGCGTGTAACTGTGCCGCGTGTAACTGTCCTGCCTGTAACTGTCCCGCGTGTAACTGCGCCGCGTGTAACCGTCCCGCGTGTAACTGTCCCGCGTGTAACTGCCCCGCGTGTACCTGTGCCGCGTGTAACTGTCCCGCGTGTAACTGTGCCGTGTGTAACTGCCCCGCGTGTAACTGCCCCGCGTGTAACTGCTCCGCGTGTAACCGTGCCGTGTGTAACTGTCCCGCGTGTAACTGTCCCGCGTGTAACTGCCCCGCGTGTAACTGTGCCGTGTTAATAACGTGAAAAGGCGAAGGCGCCACCGCAGACTGGTCCTGGTCCTCGGTGCCGCCCGTAGCAAGGACGCTGCAGTGGCCTTAACGTCCTTCCTCCCGGCTGTGTTCCAGAAGGTGCCAGGTGCGTCTCTGGCAGGCGGGGTCTGCAGGCTGAGGACTTACCTCGGCGTGGAGCCCGTCAGACGTCACAAGCTGAGTCACCGTCATCTCATTGGCAGTCAGAGTCCCCGTCTTGTCCGAACAGATGACATTACAGCAGCCTGGGACAACAGCAGGCCGTACAGGGAAGGGGGGTCGCCCTCTTCCTGGGGGCGGTGAGACCCCCGCTTGCATGGCCATGCCACCCACACCCCCTCAGCCCCGCCGTGAGGTCCGCCCGCTGGGGCCGCTCACCCAAGGTCTCCACAATGGGTAACTTCTTCACGATGACGCGCTTCCTGGCCATCCGCAGCACTCCCAGCACCAGCGTCACCGTGACAACAATGGGCAGCCCCTCCGGAATGGCCGCCACGGCCAGGCTGGAGCAAAATGCGGAACGGGTGGTCTTGGATATGCACTCCAGACACCATGGATCTGGGCTGGGGTGCGACTCCTGGAGCTAGGAGAGCAGGGGTCCTCGCGTCCACGTCTGAGCCCTCCCCCACAAACCCTGCCCTTCCGAAGGGCCCTCTCCTATCAGACGTCCACACCTTAGTGTGAATTACTGTTTGCCCCGTAGGTACTTTGGCATTTAAATCCTTCTCATTGTTTAGAGAGAAAGCCTTGGGGTCCCATGAAAAGAGTTCCCAGAATCTGACCATCGATATCGATCGTGGGAAGTGGACGTTTTTGGTTTCAGGGTCCTTCCTGAGTTGAACACTGTCAACGAAACAGGGTTAGCTGTGAGTGGGTCGTGGTTCAAACTAGGTCATGGCCACATGGGTTTTCCCGTGAATATTCTCTCTACCTGCACATATCTGCTCTCCTCCAAAATTTTCCCTTTAAAAGAAAGATAGAAAGGAAGAAAGAAAGAAAAAGAAAGAAAGAAATAGAAAGAAAGAAACCGGGCAGCCCCGGTGTCTACCGAAGGACAAAGGGATGGGCTGAATGTGGGCTCCCCACATTCCTAAGACCATGGCAGCCGTTGGCATGGAGGGGCCTGTGGGAGCCACAGCACAAGGACCCTGGAGGCACGGTGCGGCCCAGACGCAGACACAGAGGCCACGTGTGCGGCCACGTGTGCGCAGCATCGTCCGTGAGAGGTGCCCAGAGCAGGCGCGCCTACAGGGACGGGTGGTTACAGACTGCCAGGTAGGGCTGCGGTGCTGGAGGGCGGTGGGTGTGACTGCAAGGCCGGGGTTTCTCTCTGAGGTGTTAAAATGTTATACTTCGCTGCGAACCTACTAACCCATGAAGCCGTGTACTTTAAATGAATGAATCACTGTGTGTGAATCACATTTCAGTAAACTTGTTAAGGAAAGTTAGCTAGCAGCTTGGGAGGGGAGGGGAGGGGAGCGGCAGAGGGCGGCCAGGCCCTGCTAGTCAAGCTCTGTCTGAGACCGAGCTGGGGGTGGGGACAGGTGTCTCAGTCACACGGGACCTTAGAAGGGACTGGGTGGAGCAGTTAATGACTGCGTTGGGAACTGGCCCCCACGTGGCTGACCACAATGTGACTCCGGCCCTGGCAGCTTGAGAAAACTCACTGGCATGTGTTTGTGTGCCCCAAACCCTGGGGGAAGGAGAGCTGGGGGGAGGGGCTACAGTGTGACCACACTGTACTGGGGTGCCCCAAACCCTGGGGGAAGGAGAGCTGGGGAAAGGGGCTGCAGTGTGACCACACCGTACTGGGGTGCCCCAAACCCTGGGGGAAGGAGATCTGGGGGGAGGGGCTGCAGTATTGGGGTTCTCTCTCTCTCTCTCTCTCGCACATGTGCCCTCTGACAATTAAAAAAAAAAAAGGAGTGATGGAGAATTCTGTTCTTTGGGAAACCAGAAGAAAATCATGAAGAGGAGAAAACACCTGCCCCCGGGGCCCACCCAGCCACCGACAGAAGCCCTGAGAGACCAGCCATTCGCACAGGACGGGCCGTGTCCCAGGCTTGGGCCACTTGGTGACACAGTGAAATGGGCCGGAAGAGCAATGCTAAGAGTGACGGCCTCTCAGTCCAGAGTCCTCACGAACCCAGAGCACTGCGAAATGCCAGGCCGGGCGACACCCTCTGTCGCCAGGCCTTCAGGCTTCCCAAGAAAACTGGAAACCCTGTACCTTCTTCTTCTTTTTTCTTTTTCTAAACAATTATTTATTTATTTATTTCCATTTGTTATTGTTATTTTTTTCTTTATTTGACGAGAGAGAGCAAGAGAGAGAGAGAGAGAAAGGGAAAGTGAGAAAGCAAGCCACCAGGTCCAGGACTTGAACCATGCTTGGCCATGCGGGAATCCAGTGCCTTATCCACCACACCACCTGCTGGCCCCAACCCTGTATCTTCTAATGCAAACTCCCAGTTTTTTGACATTAACAAATCTGTTTGTCACATACGCTGTTCAAACGAAACGCATTTACTGGCTGCATCCTGCTGACAGGTGCCCGTTTTCACCCCTGCATCGGAACAGCCATCTGGTGTCCCGTCAGCACGTGGCGAAGGCACAGAGGCCAAGAGTGGCCACCAGGGGTGCGCTGTCTGGCTTGGTAACAGTCGGAAACCCGGCCCAGCTGGCTCCGCCAACCCAAGCCACACATGGGTACTACGTCATCGACTGGGATGCCAGAGTTGGTGGGGACGCCATTACTGCGCACCACTGAGCGGGGAGAGAACACTCAGCAATGAATGGGCGGGGCTTTCCTAAGACACCGCAAGCGGGGAGCAGTCTGATTTCAGAGGCGTTAAACCGAGAAAGAGCGCGAATCTTAGAATCGGAGAAACACGGATTGAACAATGACCTTTCACCCAGAGATGGCGAACGCTCAGGGTTAAGTTAGTAAACTAAGATTACCGAATTTGGACAAGGGGCTGGGCCTGGCTCCTGTGGTGACAGCCAGGTGCTTCCTTGGTGTTACGGTGCAGGCTGACAGAGGCCAGCTAAGCAAACATTTGCAGAGGTGATGGCGGCGACTCCCCCAGATGGCAGGCAGGATGGGGGGGGATTTGTCAAGCTGCAGGGTTAGGATTTGAACTGCGGTTGGCCACGTGGGATGTGGCTCCCTTAACACTAGAATGCCCAGACTGCATTTTTATTTCAGGGCAGCTTTATGTCCCCGGCTTCTGAGGGCCCTGCTTCCTTTGGGAGCCACGGTCTCCGCCCCCACTACACCTCCTCCGAGGCAGGTGGCCTGAGGCCACCGTTCAGGGGTTCGCCCTTCTTCCCCGACTCTGCTCCTGCTGGAGCCCAGACTGGGGGCAACCTTTGATCAGAGCTTGGTGGCTCGGAGCGTTCTCCCTGGCCAGCCACATGAGCACCTCAGCAGCTTCTTAGAAATGCAGAGCCTCAGGCCCCCAGGCCCCCTGAATCAGGACCAGAGATATGTTCGTAATCGGCCCTCCCAGGGGCCCTACGTCGTAGAAGGCTGCTCTCAGCGCTCCTTCTCCTGCAGATGCCACTGTGGCCTCCGACCTGGAGTCCACGACAGCCTCCCAGCTACTCCCCAGCTCCCTGTCTACATCCTGCAAAGCTGGGTGGCTGGGCGCGCCCCCCCCCCCCCCGCCCCCCCCCCGCGCCCTCCCAGCCGAAGCCGTGTCCACACCCACGCTGGCGGCAGTGCTGGGACGAGCAGGGACGTTTCTCGTGTGAGCAGATGCTCCGACTTGCTTGCCAGGGCTCTGTT